TGTCTTCTCTGTCGGCTGAATTAATCGCGATTAAATGCGCTGTCTTGATAGCTGCAAAAAGTAATTTAAAAAAAATTGTAATTTTTACTGACAGCAAGTCCAGCTGTGTTCTTTTAAAAAAGCAAGCATACAGTTGCCCAAATCAATACGATCATTGAGGGATCATCTATCGAGTTCTGTGAGTTTGTTTGGGTGCCAGGACATACCGGTTTTGTTCTGAATGAAAAGGCGGACAGGGCTGCAAAAATAGCGTTGGTCAGTGGTACTACTATAGATGTACGATATAGCAAGAAAGATGCTCTTCGGAAAATTTACAATTCCTTAAGGGAAGAATGGGATCAGGAATACAAACTATTATCGCAACACAAGGGAGCTTTCTTTGCGGAAATCTTCCCAGAGCTACCATCAAAGCCGTGGTATCACAAGTCGTCTCTATCTGTGGAATGCATAAAAATTATTAATAGACTTTTTTCGGGTCATAGGTATGATAGAAAATACTTGTATCGGATAGGTTCAATTCCAACGAATATTTGTCCTTTGTGTGATACTGAAGAAAGCCTTGATCACTCGGTCTTCTTCTGCGCTAAATATAATGCGTTTAGATGCGATTTTGCCTTTTTTAATACTTTTCGCACAATTAAGGAAATCTTGCTAACGAAGGATGTATCTATTATTTCTCAGCTCGTAAAATTTCTTAAGATAGCTGATATTAAAGTATAGCGATATCTCTCAAATCAAGATTAATATACACAATTAAATCTAACTACATGTTTGCTTTGTTTTGACTCGGACTACTTGACTACCATTGACCGTAAACATATGACTGTTTACCATTGACAACCATTTGTTGACTGATCTGGCAATGTGGTCTTTGCACCACAAAAAAAAAAAAAAAAAAGAAGACAATTGTAATCGTTCAGGCGTTTCCGTTTAAATTGGCTGTGCTTAATTTAAATTTTTGTACGTTTAAGCAAATCATGAATTTAAGAAAAAATTTTAATTTTGTGTGCATAAACTAGTTTTTTAGTGTTGCTGTATTTACTTTGTAGTGCGCTTATGAAATTCAAAGCTATCATTACTTTGAATATCATGGTCTTTGTCATATGATTTTAAATCTAGCCAGTGGCTTGGAAGGTAATTAATATATTTACACATATAGTATAAATTAATCGTTATAGTATATAGTACAGTATATTGGTACAGTATATTGGTACACAGTATAGGTATTGGTATACAGTTTGGTATACAGTAACTTTGTACTATAGTTAATAAAATCCAATGTTTCCTTATTTGCTCAGTTTCCCATAATGATGTTGATTTTCCGTTTGGTTTATTAACTAGAAATCGTGAGAGTTTCTAATTAAAAGCTTTACAAATTGTTTATTTAATTTAATTTTTTCACAGATATGTATTTATTATCATATCAATGTTTGCTTTAAAGTTGTTAACACTACAAGACTCGCCAAATTCAAAAAACACCATCGGTTGGAAGACGCAGATGTAACAGTATTTCTATCATAAACTTCATTCAAAATCACCGAGTCCTCCTTTTTACGATCTTCCTCGCTCTCTACAGACGACAAGTCCTCATTGCTATACAACTCGGCTTCAGTTGAATAATTCGGCAGTTCAACTGAACAAATGAAAAGAAATAAGTTGTAAAATTGTATACTAATTTACGAATTGATATTAATACCTTCTCCGCCCGTTGCAAATCTTACTATTTTGCTGCTCTCACTCCAACCAAAGTGATTGCGGGCGTATACTACCACTTCGTAGACACTAGCTGGTTGTAGACCATGTAAGGTGTATGTAGTAATGTGAATGGGACCTAGAGGGCACATAAAAGCAATATTTATGTATATTAACTTAAATTTAGTATACAAATAATACCGGCCGATAGCTCTGATGGTATGGTCAATACCGTCCAATCGGTTTTGAAATCAATGTCCAAAGTTTGTGGTGTTATGCTTGCTGCAAGTTTCGCTAATGAGATGTGCATGTAACAAATGTTTTTCTTTCTAAAATGTTACCTGATGGTATTTGTCGAAATTTCAACTTAAATTCCATTAGCGGTGATAAACTCTCAGTTTGCCACACCAAAATGTGTGAGGTTGAACTCTGTACCCCTGGATTGATTTTGAAAACACATGGCATTGGACGTCCTGTGAAGTCAATAGCCGCGCTTTTGAAGCCCAATTTATTTTCCGCACGACACTCGTATAGCCCGAGATCTGAGTCACGCACATTTTTTATAGACAGCGTATGCTTTATAACTGTGTTGAATTGTAAATTGGAACCATTTGGTTGCATTTCGGTTTCGTAACGGCTTATTCTTGAGTCATAGGTCATTGGTACGCCATGATGGTACCAATTTACGCTAGCACGCGGCACTGCCTCGATAAGGCATTCCAAATCGCTTCGTGAACCAACCTTGGTGTAGACAACATGTTGCACGACACGCACTTCCGGCGGAACTGAAAAGTTGTGAAATATTTATTTTCCCCACATATTCGTATGCTCTCACCAATGGCGCAATAATTCCACCATGGCTCTCACCAACCACTTTTCTTACTTACACTGCACTTTCAAGAACATGCCTGCCACCGCTATATCGCCTATGCTGTTATTGGCCACACACTCAATCGGTCCAGATTGTTCACGCGAACCCACTTCAATTTGTATACTCAAACGATTACCAATTAGTTGATTATCCACCAATTTGCCATTCCAACGCCAGTATAATTTGGGTTGTGGCACACCTCTGGCTTCACACATCACCTGAAAAACTGCGCCAATCGGGAGTTCAATATTTCCTTCTGGCTCTGTCTGCACTGTTGGCGGGAATTGCACAGTTATGGAATGCGTTTTCGTAACTTCTGTGTCATTGTCGGTTTTGAGAGCGCAGCTATAGTCGCCAGTATCCGAAGGTTGGAGTTGTGAAATTTGTAAACTACCATTTGACCAAAGTCGTATTCGTTCGGGTGTTGGCGTCTCATTGCTGTCACGTGAATCTACGAGCGATTGATTCTCTTTGAACCAGCGAACGTACTGAAATGTAACTAATTTGTGTAGGGAATTAGTGAGCTGTGTGACTCTTTACTCAGAATAGTAGTTTCATTATAAGTTTATTCTACAAAAAAGTTTCTAGGTGTTACCACTGAGGTGATAGTTCTTGACCAGAAATTAATCAGCGCCGTTTTGATTACTACTGGAATCGACCGTCCTTGAAACGCTTCCTTTTAACACTCCAGCTAGACTAGCTAACTGTGTATGTGTGAGCTTAATAAACAAACAGATTCCAAAAAGTGATCTTCCACTAGGATCTGTGAACGCTTTTGAAAAAATATTTCCAAGACAAAAACAGTCCTAAGTAGAAAAATTCGTATTTTAATTTTTTTCGTCTAAAATATCATCATCTTTGGCATAATCAGAAAATCGCGCCTTTTGAAATCGGTATTTATTTACAAAGTTGTTTCAGAAAAATTTTATTTTCAAGTCAAAAATTTGTCGTTAAATCGATGTTTAAAAGTATAACGTAAATAATGCAGTCTTCTCAGTTTTCATTTTAAATATTTATTACTTTTAAAACTAAATATTTTGAAAATCGCTTCGATTTATTTTCGTTTTCAAATCACTGAATAATGTTTAGTTTCAGAGATTGTTAATAAAAGTTGTTTTTGGATTTTAAAAAAAAGGCATAGTGAACAAATTTTTTTTTTTTTAACCGACTTCAAAAAAATAGGAATATTTTTTTTCATGTACCGTCCTACTTTGGACTACCTTAACCGATTTCTATAATTCTTGTGTTAAAGGAAAGGTGGTACCTCAGTGGCCCAATACTAATTTGGTTTAGATCTTTGGATCATGAAGAAATTTATGGTACTCTTAAATTTTTATATGAGAATTGAAGCCGGTTTGGTTTTTTGCTTAAAAATTATTTGATATTTTTTTCTATCATTAGAAGTTATGTTTCTATGCATTGATAATAAAATCAAATGTTTCGGAATTTGTCGAGGATCTTTTTCGCACTTTTTAAAATTCTGCGTCTTTTACTTTTTTTTCGTTTACGGTTTTTTTCGAGTTTTTTTCGTCTTAATTTCCAAGATTTGGGGAAGGTCCTTCGTATTTTCTTTTTTTGTCAATATTTTCGGTACTTTTCACAATTCTTCGTATTTTGTGATTTTTTCCGAGATTTTTCGAGACTTTCGCAACTGCTCAAAATTTTTTCGGAGCTTCAAACTTAATTTTTCAGGGAATTTTGGGAGTATAGATACATTTTTGTGAGATTCTTAGTCTATTACTTTTCGGGATTTTTCCGCGACCGCTCTGGACTTTTTCGTGGTTCTTCATGTTTAAATTTTTGGGACGTGATTTTTCCGGAGTTATTCAGAATAGTTCAGCTTATTTTCGGAACCAGTTAGGATTTTTTAGTACCCTTCCAAATTTTTCGTTTTTAACCATTCGGAATTTTTCAGGCACTTACGGAATTTTTTCAATGTTTTTTTGGGTTTTTCGAGGTTTTATTAAACTTGCACTTTTCAAGATTCCCCACATTGTATTGTTTTTTTTTTATCTTTCGTCACTTTTCGGACATTTCGAGATTTATTTGCATACTTCTTCGGAATTTTTTTTTTTTGAAACTTTCAGGGCCAAAAGTACACTAAACTCTTGCTAGGCTTTAAAAAAGTTAAAACAATTTTTGCAAGTTACCTACACTTTTTTTAATTTTTATAAAGTTATAATTCATGTTCTAACCAAAACCAATTAAGGCGAAATTTCGAACTTTATATAAAATTTAGAATAATCAACAAAAAAATTCATAAAAGTTTTGAACATTTTAATCTGAATTTTTAGAAAATTTTTGGTAATCCGTTTTATAGCTCACACAATTTTAATGCAAGTTTCAGACGGCTTGATTCTCAATCGCGTTGATCATAATATTTTTTGAGATGAGGGAATCTTGCACTGTTTTCATTATAAACACGAATTTCTCATGAAATAAAATTCGCCAGTTTTTATAAATTGCATTTGTTATATAAAAAATTCACAAAAGCCAAGCACAATAATAATATAATTAATAATTAAAGATCAATGCGATTTTTTAGCCGATTTAAACTTGAACTTTCTTATACTAAAATTTTATAATAAATTCGAAATTTTGATGAAATTTTTTTGATTTTTCTAAATTTTGTATAAATTCTGAAATTTAGGCTTACATCATAGGCCGTAAGCGCAGAAGTGGCCTAACTCCAAAGTTTTTTTTTGCATACTTACCTACTTAAAATACTCTCAAATGTGATACATTTTAAAATAGAAGTCGCTTAGTCCTTAAATAAGGTACAAAGCCTTAAGTTCCGTCAAATTATGGAATAAGCGACGTTTATTTTAAAATTTATCACATTTGAAATTACTACCCTGCCCACCTACTTCAAGATCGTATGAACTAAAAGTGTGAAGTGTATGAATTAAAGGTGGACTGGGTAGTATTTTACAAAGTTAAATGCAAAAATATTCAAAAGATTAAAGTTAAAAAGTCCAAATTTTTGATGAAAATTTGTTGAATTTTGAAAAATGGTTTTGGTTAAAGCATGAAACATATTTTCATAAAAGAAAATTATCAATTTTTACAAACAAAATCAACAACTGTATGTCTTCCGCTTCTCTTCAGTTTGCTAGAATATCCTCTTTACACCTAGCAATGGCTAAGCATTGAAATTAAATTAACATAATTTAAGCGCAAATTTACGGGCTAAATAACACTGCACTGACAAGGATAACAAAATCCTATTCTCATAAGCTCATTTTCGCCTTCAAGAAATTTTCTATAATCCGTGGATAATTTTTGTTACAGTACATAGCTTTACA